TCAAGCGTTCATGTTTATAAAGTGTTGAAATCTCTGTCTAAAGTCTTTTTAGAACTTTAGAATTTAGGCAATATATATTGTTTCTCTCACTTTATTTATACTGTGTGTTTTTGCAAGTCTGTCTATTCATCTCTGTTAGTTTCTTCCTTTTTAGCAACATACTTGCTGTTTCTCAACCAGGTACTACACTTCGAAAGATGGTACGAGATGCTACCACTGAAGTATTGGAGGGAATGATCCAGCTCACAGAAACAATTCTCATTTCTCCATTGGGGAGGTAGTACTTTTTCAGCAAGAAGAAAAGTTGCAAGTATACTCACTAAGGAGCAGCAAGTATAGACTGCACTCATAAGGGAAGTGGGAAGGCAGGAACTGAGCATTGTTATCAGGCAGGTAAAGGCAGCGACTCACCGACAAGGGACCTGTTCTCCAATATCTGATTGAACAGAACAGTGCTGGTGTTGACATCTGTCAAGCCTGTAGCAACAGTGTCAAACTGTAAAGTTAGGCCAACAAAATAAGAATTGGCTTTGGAAAGAGTAATTGGCATCACACACCATCCAGTGGTTGCCCAGCTAGTCCATTGTAATTAGTTGGGTCTGAGGTCAAGCTATAAATCAAGACAACAGGTCTGGATTCAGGTCGGAATCAAGTAGAGAATCAACACCAGGGACAAATGTGGCTGCAACACAGCTGTGATGTAGCATGAGTAGGACCTAGTGAGAGACCATTGGTAAAAGCATCTTCTATGGTAAGGAAGAGCTGGGTCTCACTTCTAGCATTCTTCAAGTGCATTTGCCTAGGTAGAGAAGAGATTTTTCATCCTGTCTATGGCAAGGAAAAATGCTGGAAGTGGGATTTCCATGATGGTGCTTGATACTATTTATACTGTTTGGCAATTCTTGCTTGTGAAGTGAATTGTGATGGTGATTGTATGACTCTCTGTAGCTAGTTAGTGGACCACAGGGGAAATATTTTGCAGCCTCTGTATTTACTGATTAACTCGATTCTCTCTAGGCAGAGATCAGCTGTCTTTACTGATTTGGATAAATACTGAAAGTTAAAAAATAACATCTAAGGAACTTGAGAAGTCTTTGTAAGAAACTCCTGCTTCTTGTCCCAACTAGTAACTAAACTCAGTAGGATTTATTAAAGCATCTTGTGCTTTGTGTGGTTCTGAAGCTAGTTTGCCATTTTCTCAGCTGAGCCCCTTTCAGTGTGCACAAAAGTAAAACAACCTAGCAGGGTATAGTGTTACCCTAACTTTGAGAGCCTCTGTTTTGTTTCAGCTCATCTCAGGAGCAGCTTATATCAACTGGTGGTGTGTGGGAGGCATGTGAGCAAGTGTCCAGCCTGCCACGAGGTGAGTACTGTGTATGTAGACGAATGGAACTAGGATGTGTGATTTCAAAATACTGGTAATGCTTGAGAGGGGCATTTTAGGTAGTACAGTGGTGGGTGGCTTACTCATTCCTCAGAACCCTACTATTCTCTGAAGTGTGAAAGTCTGCTCTGATTATTTGTAAAGCAATACAGTACAGCTCTGAGCTTTGCAAAAAATTTGATCCTGTGATCTTAAAATCTAAGGGTTGCAAACATAGGTGAATGTTGATGCAAGCTGATTTGAATCACTGCAGTGTTACAGTTTTCTTTACTTTTCCTTTTGCAGATAACCAGGCAGCAGTTGTGTCAGCTCTGTCTGCATTTCTAGGTGTGGTCAAAGATGCTGTGGAAGAGATGGAAAATGTAAGGAAACCCCTGAGTTGCTGAGGAACCTGCAGTGATTTCTCTGAAAGAAAACGATTGTTTAATATACAGGCTTTGATCTAGATTGGTTCTAGTATGAGCAAGAGTATTATCATATGCCTGTATCTTACTGAGGTTTTTAAACCTGGATCTGGTTTAGCTTACGTAGAGCTTTATGGAAGCTATGTTCTAAACTGTGTTTGTGGTTTTAGGTTGGTGTGAGAATGGGACTGTTTGCCAGGTTCTTGCAGTTTGCCATATTGAACAGGAGTCTGTGATTGGATTAAGAAAAACTAGCCTTACTGGAGTGAACAGAGCCTGGCAGCAGAGATGCTGGTTGAAGAGAGGTTCCTCCATAAATTATTTGTGTGATTTTTTTAGACCATGTTTTACTTATCCTCCTGGATATTGTTGGAATGGATGTTAGGCTATAGGTTTTCAATGCATCTGTGTTCTCAGGCTCTGGTGGAAGAACGAGACCCCTACAGTGATATCATAGAAGATGAGGAGCTTGGCTTTCGGGGTAACAGAGATACCTATTGGTCAGAAGCTGACCGGAAGCTGCTTGGTTCCTGCATGGGATTAATGAAGGCTTCTAAAGCTTGCCTAAAGAAGGTCCTGAGTGTAGTGAAGGCTTATGGGAAAGCTGACTCTCCAGAGCAGATTGCTCAGCTGGATGACCTTGCAGACATTGCTAATGAGATCAGTCCAAGGTAAGCCACCTCCTAAACTGTGTCTGTGGTTTTAGGTTGATGTAAGAATGGGACTATCTGCCGGGTTCTTGCAGTTTGCTCTACTGAACTGGAGTCATTTATTACCTTTTCTTACTGGAATTAACAGAATCTGGCAGCTGAAATGCTTCTTTGTGCTTCAGAGTAGTCCCTGTTTTACTTGACGTCTTGAAAATGGACTGGAAAAACCTTTCTGATACTTAAGCTGTGGCCAGGTGGTGGAAACAAATATGAAGACTGTTATATCATAGGCTGTTGAGAGTTTTGCGTGTCAGGAAAGGAACATGTGCTACTGTTTAGAGTGGAGTTGTGACTATGACTAGAAGTAAGGTGGAAGTTGCACACAGATGCCTGAGAAGGTGTTGTAAAGTATTCCATGGGTATAACCAATGCTGTCGCCTTGTCATGCCATAGTTGACTTGCACTGAGGGTGGATGTAAGACTTGACGAGGATCTGTGGATTGTGCAGCTGGGGTTTTCTTCCATTGCACGCCTCTCTTCTATTCTAGCGTTGATGAGCTGGCACTGAGCATGTACCCACCTATGAACCATCTGGCCGTGCGACTCAATGTAAGTTTTTGCAGCCTGCATGTGGATCTACTCACTTGGCTGTAAAGAAGGGGAGGAAATTGAATTTGGGGAATTATGTCTTTCAGAAAGAGGATTTATTACTGTCTCAGTAATAAGTTCTTATGGATGAAGAGTCTCTTTTGTTTGTCTTGTACACTTAGATACCTTCAGGTGGAAGTGTATTCTTCATCTTTATTTTGGGGAAGATGATGTCTTCTCTTGTGTGTTTTCTAAACTATGAGCCATAGAGATATCCAATGATGTTACTCAGGAAAGTGAGGTCTAGGGCTGCCAGTGTAGTACACATCTACTTTTGTCTCTGGGTAGTTTAGATTTGCTCAAATAATGTGATCTTAATTCAAGAAATAAATTAAAAATTCTCAGAGTATCGTTGAGCATGTGCTTCACTTGTTAAGTGAAAGAAGTTGCTCAGAAAGGCACTGGAATCTCCATCTTTGGAGATACTCAAAATCTCTGGGGGTTGAAGCTCTGAGCAAGCTGACTAAACTCTTAGATTTGCCTTGGTTTGAGCAGGAGGTTGCACTCAGGTGTCTTCCAAGGGTCCCTTCCAACCTAGATAAGTATATACCTTATACCTGAAAAATTCTGGTTCATACATTCACGAGTGGCTTGAAATTTTTTTGCTTATGGTATATTGCCTACTGTCAACTTGCATTACAGTCAGTCACTTAAAACTTTGTGCTTTTTTGTTCTAATAGTTCTATCTTTTTAAAGAAAAAAAAAACAACAAGCATTTTAAAGTATACATTAAAAACATCTTTATTTTTACCTGTCCCAGACAGTGACAGATTTGGAGATAATCCCACCATGCCAGTGTTAGGTGACTTCCTTTTGCATTGGAGTTTTTGGCAGTTTTACATATTCTTGGCTATGTCTGTCCTGTCATTATCTCCCATTTCTTTCCAGTTAATGCTGGGCTCCCCTCCCTTTTTTTTTTTTTTTGTATGTTTAGCTTACTTATTTCCCTTTTCTTTCTTTGTAGGCTGCTAAATTGGCCTCAGTATTAAAGAAAGTCTTAGAGATTACAAAGTGAGTATGAGTTACAATTTATGAGCATGTGTTCACTGCTGTGAAGGTTAATATCTCTACTTCCTGTCAAAGATGATTCAGTTCTAGACAGCAAATGCTGTCATACTGGAGTAATTCTGATGTTACCCAGACACAACGCAATAGGAAGAGGATGGCAGGAATGAAAGAGGTTACTGCTGAAGACGGACGTATGTGTCAAGGTTTGAAACTAGAGATAAGGACATGGGTTCTTCCTTGCTCAAACACAGTGGGGCTACATAAGTCCTGTTCTAACACCGTAGTAATTCAGCACTTCACAATACCAATGTGCTGGGGGGATTTTTGGATACATAAATACAAAAACCCCCAGGAGGCTTTCCTAATGAATTTCCTCCACTTTTGCAGGACAAGCCATGTATGTCCACCATCAGAAGAAAGCTGGGTGCAGTTTCTAACAGGTGCAGTAGATCACAACATGGACAAAATCAAGAACTTCACACAGGGTGAACTTTAGCTCTTCTGTGTCCACATGTGTTACTGCCACTAGCTCTGATATATGCTTTTCCAGTGAATCTGGCCATTCTTCAGCTACAGGGAGAATTATGAGGACAGTGTTTTTAAGAGGGAACTTTACTGCTGCCTGGCAAAACTTGCCCAGAAAATCCCTCTTTGCAGTTGCAGATGATGTTGTTTTGCTTGGACTCTTGGGATGGTATAGTGCTTCATTTTAATGCTGTGAATATGTACTGTTTCTCAGACATTATACAGCTACTGTGGGGTTCAGTGAACAATAAAATATTGCTAGATTTGCATTGTTAGCTGCATCTGTTTTCATGTGGCAGAGAATGTATGCGGAAGAAAAGAATCTCCATTCTCTTGCAGTCAGCCAAAGGAAGTGTTAAAAAAAAAAAAAAATGCTGTATTCTGTCTAACCTTAGGAAAGAGTGAATGCTATTCCTCTCTTTATTCCGTAAGAAAGAGGTAAAAAATACTACTGTATTACCAACTTCAAGAATCTGTAGGAGATAAGAATATTTCTCTAGAGGAGTGCTACATCTGTCACTTTAAAGTTCTACAGTGTGGGGTTTTTTTTGCCACAGGAGTGAAAGAATGACTAAGCACTAGTGTGTTCAGCAGGAATGCACACAGAAACCTGGTATCTGCTTGAGAACATTACCAATCTTTTTCACAATAAAGTTCAGCTTCCCGGACCCGAGAGTGGATATAGTTGATAGATGGGATTATAATATATATTATATGATGGGATTATAATAATTATATGATTTTATTTAATTTTTTAATATCAATGCTCAACAAAGGTTAGGGCACAGATCATGACCACTCTTGTAAATAGGATAGCAGAATCTGTTCTAAATTGGACATCATGCAGCTGCAACGTTGATACTTTTGTAGCTCTTCAGGTTCTGGATTTGAAGGCATGTAAGATGTGCAGTGAGTCTTCTTGGCCCTGCTTCAGTAGGGGTGAATGAGATATGCAAGTCTTGAGTGCTGTTAGGTTGCACAGAACCCAGCCTGAAAGGTAAGAAGGCATTATATAGAAAATACACCTCTTTGTATTTCTAGTTCCTGGCCCCAGGAGATGCATTTGTGAGGCATGAATGTGAGGAAGTTTTTCACTCAGGGGGTGGCACTGGAACGGGTTGCCCAAGGAGGTTGTGGATGCCCCATTCCTGGATGCATTCAAGGCCAGGCTGGATATGGCTCTGGGCAGCCTGGTCTGGTGCTTGGTGAGCCTGCCCATGGCAGGGAGGTTGAATCTAGATGATCATTGTGGTCCTTTTCAACCCAGGCCATCCTATGATTCTATGATGCCAAAAAAAAAAAAAAAATCCAAAAACCTAAATAGGAGAGTCTATAGAAAAAGTGGTGACTGAAGTTTGGATAACTTGACTAAATCAGGTTTGCTTGGTTCTTCAGCAGAGGAAGGGAAGGCCTGTTGAAAGTTATCTGTCTGCTCTCTTTTAAAGTGTAAAAATCTTACGTATTATCCCTAAGTAAGGGAATGCCTGGGGCTTTCAGCTGTAGTGATCTCTTCCTACCATGATGCTGCCTGTTTATTCTGGTGGACAGCTTTTCCAGGGCAAGGATTTCTCTGGCTTGTGTTGTGTTTGTTTTTCCATTTAACTGCTCAGTTTGCGCTCACCTGTACTTTCTTTGTCTGTAAATGAGCCCTCGCCCTCCAACCATTATCACACACTTCTCCAGGGGTTCAGTGAGAGGATTCAGGAGGCTGACCTTCACAGTGGATGGCTGGTACAGTACCACGTTTTCTGGAAACTGTTGAAAGAAAGCAGTGAGCTGAAACTCAGAGGAGGAAAGACAAACTTCTGTGATTAAAGAGAGAGAATTGATTTTGGTTGCCAGAGGTCTCAGCCTGAGCTGCCAGTTGCCAGAAGACGCAAAGTCCAACTTTCTTCACCACTGCAGTATTCTTCTGTAGCTTTCTTCTATATCTTCTGACTTGTGGATTTATGACTGTGTCAGGGGTTACCTGAATTTATTTATTCTTGTACATATACAAGGTAAAAATGGGAGAAATACTGTATACAACAGTGCAGTACAACTCACTTTTCACAAACTCTTATTTTAGTGCTTTGAAAGAAGACAGTATGAGGAAAGCCACTCAATGTAGCAGAATGTTTCTGCTAATCATAACTACAAAAACTCTTTTCTCACCACTGCAGTAACAGAATGAAGACCAATCTAACCTCAATAGTCAGAGGCGGATCACAGATGCTTATCTCTTCTTGTGCAAAGTACATGTAGGAGTCCTCATCTCTCAGCATGGCAGTCAGCCTAAGCAGACGGTTCTGTCCCAGCTCTTTTCCATACCACGAGTAAGGCACAAAGACTTGGAGGGTTTTAACTGGAATATAGAGTGGTGAAATACAGATAATGGAACTGATGTTATGTGCTTAACCTGCACTGCCCAACAATGCACTGAAAACTACATTTAAAAGTCTGAGTGAAAGTGATCCACCTAACATGCTGCAGTTATTTTCCTCTTTCCCTCCAAGGTGATTTGTTGGGATTGCCTACAATTGGCTTTCCAACCAATATTACTTACTTACAGCTAAGTGCATTTTTCTAAAGTGAGAGGACTGGATGCACTTCTCCAGCCTTAGCAGAGCTCTTACCTTCATTGTTTCTGATGATAAAATTAAACTCTTCCTTCCAAAGTTGCATAACGGGAACACCATTATAATGTAGAGACTGGACTCCAAGTACCAGGTGTGTAGCCTTTTCTCTACCACTGTAGTTAAACACTTCAATGGAAAGTGGAATATCTTGTCCCAGTATCAGAGGACTCTTGGACTGGAGGTGGATAAAAAGGATAACTTGCTCTTCAAGGGCAGGAGGAACAGAGATAATCTCTCTCCTGCTGCTGATTGCCTGGAGTGTCTTTATCTTTCTGTAGACTTTGTCAAGTACTTTTTTTTCTTGAAGAGAGCCTGTTGCCAAGAAGAAAAGCACATTTTAATATTCTTTCTTGTTTAGTAGTTGTAAAGCACTACATGCAGAAAGAGTGGAATTATCCCAACTGTATTGGAGACAACTGTTTCTTATAGCAGAGGGAAATATCTCGTGCTTTGGTTGAAGCAGACCAAGAATTTCAGCTGCGAGGAAACTGGATGTGTCTGAAAAGATTTCTCATAGTTTTTGAGCACTTTGGTGCTAATAAATGTCAGAGTAAGAAAAGATTTTGTAACTGTAGCTAGGGAGTGGTACTAGGAGTAGTAGCTAGGGAGTTGTCTTGTGATGGACTGCAACCAAGAGGCAGCATGCCATAGAAAAAGATGAGATGGTAGGGCTGTGTCAGGTAAACAGAACATAGTAATAGATTCTGAAGAGCTGCTATTTGAGGGATGGATTTAGACAATGTCTAGGAGCACAGCAGCCCTTCTCAGAAAGCTGGAGTATGAAGTATGATATAAGGGTAATGGGAGATTAATGTGCAGGTAACAGAAGTCAGGAAAGGAGGTTTTTTCAGACAGGAGATTGCCTGTCCTAGTGAGCTAGTAATTAAGCAGGACGAAACTGGGATATGACCCGTACTTTGGTTCTGTAGACAGCCAAAGTCAGATGTTGTTTCCCCATTCAGGAAGGTGAAGTAGTGAGAAGTGGATGTCCCTGCTGTTCTGGTATGGCTCTGCTCTATAGTCATTTACCCTTCACTTGTAACGTGGTCAGGGAATGTGCTCAAACATTTGTCCACCTTGTACCTTCAGGATATTTGTAGTTGTGTGTGATATCCTCACAGCGTTCACTGCCCACGCTCTTGGTGCTGATGTTGTTGCCAGTATACTTTGTCCAGATGAAAGCTGGCTTGAAGATGTCATCTGCCTTGTGTATCCAGACCTTGCACTTGGCATTCATGGCAGCAAAGAAGTAGCAGACATCATAATCCACTTCCATGTCCCCCTCCTTAATGGCCTGAACAGGAGCTGGCCCACAAAATGAAGGGCCTGAAGAGAAAACATAGCCCAATTAAGAATCAGATGCTTTACCAGCTAGACCCATGCTTAGTGTAAACATATACAGGGAGTGGTATGTTAAATGTCATGCTGTGAAGGATCTTTTAGAGCTCTACAAGCTGCACAAACCAAACAGGTCAGTGAAGATTTAGAGCATACAGCCCTCAGAGTGCCTCCTTCCCTTCATGCATCCCCGCAGTGGAAGATGAGGGAGGGATCCAACTGCTTTATTTGCTCCCCTTTTCTCCATCTTTCTCTTTAATATTTTACCTTTGCTTTTCTTCTGGCAGGTGGCATCCAGTGCCTGCCATCCGCTGTACTCTGGTAACAAGTCTGTTCGAGCCATCCAGCATTCATTCCAAACGTGATAAGTCCTGTGAGAGGCACAGCATGTGTTTGTAACAAGGCACTGAGCCCTGTGGTACAGGATACTTTTAGTCAAAGCACAGCTAATTAATGCTTTAGAAGAGCCCAGCACAGCAGTGACCACGGTTTTTGATGTAAGTGGAGGTTCTCCAGGTAGGATGGGCTATCCTTTGTGGGGAAAAATTTTGGGTTGCTGGAATTTCTCAAGAACAAATCATATAGACTGGATCTTTGCTGTTCTATATCTTACAAACTTCCCTGCAGCTCTTTTCCTTTTTCCGCTCTGTCACATCCTAGACCCAGATATTGTCTCAAACTTTTCCTCGGGCCCAGCCTTATTTCCTTACCAGACACGGGCACTTTTGTCAGGTGTAAGCAGTATCCCATCTTCATCATAATACTCGTTCACATTTGGGTTGCTGTTAGTGTTGTGAGCCCATGTGAAGCCTGTGACAACCCTGGTGGGAATTCCCAGGCATCTCAGAACTGTGAAAGAAAGAGCTGTGTATCAGTAATGCATCCTGCCCTAAAGTGTCCCTGCTGTTATATGTAGAGCCTTTTTTGGTATGAAACTTATTGGAGTGGTGGTGGGCCTAGTCTCAGGAAATGGCAAGAGGCATTCAGGAAGTAAGTTAACATCGCTGCATTCAGTGAATGGTGTGTACTGACACTCTTTTAGCCCAAAGCTAGCAGTGCTGAATCTTGACGAGGAAACTGAGGATCTGCCTCAAACCTAGAGATGAAAAGTTATGTTACTGGATTCTTGGCTTAACAAAGATTCCAGGTATATGCTAGAAGATTCCCAAACCAAGCAAGGGCTCGATCAACATGCAAGTCTTTAAATGACAACTGTACCTGAGCACATGACTGCAGCAAACACCCAGCACTGCCCATAGCGAACAGGTTGGTTCTGCAGTGTAACCCACTGTTGGAGGATGGAGCTGCTGCCCAGCCACTTGGAAGGAGGTGTCCCATCATAGCATTCTCTGGTCCCAGATTCTGTCAGGATTCTTCCAGACAGATTGCAGTTCATCTTCAGGGAAGGAGGAGACAAAGGTGGATTAAGGAATTAAATCTCCATAATAGGTAAACCGTATCCTGTTTGATGAAGCTACTCCCAAGGCAGCTGAAACCATAATAATTTTTTGTGAAAAGCATGAAGGTCACAACTGGGCAGAAGATGATTTGCAAATCTCCTCTGGGAGTTACCTAGTAAGTGTGTTACTGCTACTAAGAAACTCTGTAGCACTGGCTGCCTATTGCTGGAATATCAGTAAATGCTGGAAATAGGTAGGAGATGTTGCTTGGAATAGCCCTGGGCAAACTTACTCTTTGGTGAGTAGTTTTCCAAAAATGGGAAGTGAGATTATACTAGTTTCTTGTCCGTATTCAATTCTAAGCTGCTGGGGTCTGAGCTGCTGGCTTCTCTCCTTACCATGGCAGCAACTGTGCGGCAGATGTAAATGGGGTTCTTGCGCTGCATCTGATCCTTGTCTTGTTGGTAGCCTTCACCTGTGTCCAGCAGCCTGAAGCAGATGTCCAGAATACCCACATCAAACTGCAATAAGAACAGCAGCTCAGGAATTGTGGCCTGAACATTTTATTTTCTGAAATCCCTGCAAGGGGTTGTAACTTCAGATGCTTGCTCCCTTTCTTCTAATAGTCTTTAAGTGGGCTCTGGAGGAGAGCTCTGGGCAGAGATTTGAAGGAGGAGGAGCTGTGCAACTTTTATTGAAATAAGATGGGAACTGCATTAGTATCATACTGCATCTCTTGAACTGAGGGAAATTCAGGGTTTTTATTCATAGAGAACAGGCCAGGAAATTAGCTATAATTATGTAAATTGGGTTATGTGACTTCATACAGGCTGTTCTGTACATTCCTAAGAAAAACAGTGAGTACAGATAACAAGTACTTTCTTCAAAGCCTCGAAGTACTGGAAATGAATAGCATTCTGTACATACAGGAAACAGACACTCTTTCTCTACTGGTTGTAAGAAAGCACAGACATTTCACCTCTTACCTGTCCGAAGTCCCAGGGCTGGGCCAGGATTTCATTTTCAGTCCCCCAGTAGATGACACCATCTTGATTTAAAATGTACTCCTGCCGCTGCGCCTCATTAGGCAAAAACACTTCATCATCTAGTTGACAGGAAAAAAAGCATCAGGAGGGAAGCATTCAGATGGTTTCAGACACCCCTGCATCAGCAGACTATATTACACTTATGTGATCTGGGGCGTACTGTCCTGGGAAAATAGGGCAGAGAGGAATTTCACTGCAACTTCTCTTTGAGTGGAGGAACTTCAAAAGATCCCACAGAAGTAAGCTGTTGCACTAAGTAGCTCTTTTACTCTGGTGTCTGTTGACTTTCCTATTTCTAAGAAAAATCAATGATCAGTGGTTCTGACAGCAGAGTGCTCAAGGAACAGGGCAGGAGTGCTGAGGAAGGCCATGTCAGGGTTTTGTACAGCTAGCACTGCTTGAAGCGCAGGGCAGGAGCAGACGGAATTACTGGGTAGAATCCACCTCATCCTCTCTGGTGATACAGTGACAGAGCTCAAAGCTGGTTTTATGAAGTGACTGATCCCAGTCTGCCTTTTTGTTTTAGATGACTTACCTCGACACCAAGGGTTAAAGAGAAGGATGAATTTTCCCAGGAGACGGTAAGCCTTGGAGGCATGTAAAAACAGATCATACTGGCCAATGGGAGCATTGGCAGGTGTGTTCACAGAGATGGTCCAGGAATATGGGTCCTGTTCTTCTAGTTTTGCACTCCACTGCTTCTGGTCTCCCAGGCTGGAGATGGGAAACTTAACCTGGGTTCTGTCTGCTTTAGAGCGCTGTGGTCCTGCTGCAAAAGAGATACATTTTCCAGACTTGTATTGCAAGCCATCCACTGCAGATTTTAGCTACCATGTCTAGGTCTGGAGCCATAGCTCTCTTTCCATGTAGGAGAGTCTTAACCCTTTAGCGTTAATTGCAAAACTGTATTTGTCAGACACCAATTCTGAATCAGCTCTCATACCTGTTACCGTGCTTTC